TCAAATTTTAATTTGATAAAATATTAGATGTAATATTAGAGATCGCCTTAGCTATTAATAAATATTATTTTATTCCTTTTTATTTATAAATTTATAATATTTTCATTCCGTTCAGATCACTTTAAAAAACAATGTATATCTGTTCGATTTTTAAAATTGAGAATATCAATATAGACGAATTCATAAATAAAATAATAAAATAATATTTTTTAATAATTGATGATGAGAGTATAAATCAAAAGTAGAAGCTAAAATATTTTTAGTTTCTTAATAATTAATTAATTTAAATTGTTTATGTTTTAGAATTTATAAGTAAAAGTTGTGTTAAACACTCTGTACAAATTCTTAAATTAAAAAAATATATATATATAAACTATACCAAATACGATCTTGCAAATTTTATAAATTTTTCTTATTCATTGTTTTTGGACGCACAACATGTAATTTATTAAAATATTTTTTTTTATAATTTAGCATTTCAATTTTTATCAAACAGTTTTCTAACTTAAAAAATTCAACATTTAATTTTCAGTACTTAATTTTTAGTTTTGAGATTTATCAAACACCGTTCATAATGAAATTGAAGACTCAATTTGGTAACTTCTTCTTTGTTTTTTAGTGAACATTTAAAATATTTTTATTTATTTTTTAATTTTTAGGTCAATTTAATTTATATACACTTAAAAATAAAATATTTGTCAACAATTTTTAAAAAAAATCTGAATTTTTGTATTTAATGAATTTAAAAATAAAAAAATTTGTAATTTGTAATTTGTAAGTGTGTTTTGATTAAGTGAATTTAAAAAATATTTTGTACCAATTTTCCCATCGCTCGCCCAACATGCCTAGCTTGAGTCAATATTTTTAGACTTTGAAAAAATTATTGTCCATATAAGATTGGGTTGGGTTGTGATTTTGTGCCTATTTAATATTTGGGCTATACTTGGGATAAAGAGTTTTAGCCCAAGCCAGCTTGGTCCTCCAATTTATAAAATATTAATTATAATTATATCTTTTAAATTATAAATGATATTATTTTATATTTTAAATTAAAATATTTGTTAAAAATCATATTTATTTTATCATTAAATTTTGTTAAATTTTCAAATTCAAGTAATAAATAAAAGGTATGAATAATTTAGGGGTTGTTTGGGATGACCTAAATAAGTACATTTTTTGTCTTTTTATGAAAAGATGTGCAGAAAAGTAGAGAGGTGATATGATGGAAAAAAATAAAAAGATGAATTATTTGAGACTTCCCAAACTTGGCCTTAATATTATTTAAGATTATAAAAAATAAAAATAAAAAAACTAATAGCTTATATATATTGAGTTAAGTGAACAAGTTTGGGATTTGAGCTTTGTTGGATCTAGGGTTGAGATAGTTCAATTAGACCCAATGTCTAGTCAAACCGGATTTAGGATGGTTCAGATTCATTTACTATATAGTATAAGCTTGGCACGAACCCAAGTTGAGATTTGTCCACCCCACTAAAAAGTTAAAAAAAATGAAAATAAATTAAAAATATTCACTAAAAATAAAAAATAATAATTAATATATTTTTTTAAATATTATAAACCAAACATAATAATTAGCTTACAGTATCTTATAAAAAGATTAAAAAATAAAAAATTATTTAAAAAAATCTTTTCCAAATGAGACCTCAACTAACCACCAGAGGTGGTGGTTTAGTGGTTTTTAGCCCTTCACCCACGCAAGATGTCTAGATTCGATAATTGAGGGCGTAACTCCGTAGAACGTCGGTTGTTTGGAAATATGGATGTAATCAGTTTGGTACGGTCGTTATTTAGGTCAAAAAATTCACTGAATCAATAATGTATGTTTTATTATTTTGAATATCGATATAGACCGCTTCTACCATCAAATCATACAGAACCGAATCGTTTGGTGTGGTTTAATCGCTCTAAAACCTTTCAAACTTGCGCTACTTTTAAAACAATCACCATCTATATAAAAATATTAAATTAATTATTTATCCACCATTTCAAACATATCCAATCCATACATTTAATAAATAATTTTCAATTCTTAGATTGACCACAAAAAAAAAGGTTAAAAAATGTTAAGGTTTCAAAAATAATAAATTAGAGTTAAGATTATATATAATAAAAGTTTATAAATTTAGATAAAGATGATAAAGTTAATTAATTACGATTAATAATTTATTATAATTATTAATATCATTATATTATTAGATTATATTTATATTATAAATACAATATTTGTCCGTTTCGGTTTAGTTCGATGCATAAAGTGCTTACCGAACTGAAAATTGAAAAAAAATCAAATTTGAAAACAGCGCAGGTCAATTCATATTAAAAAACAAACTAAATAAATGATTTGGTCCGATTAAATCGGTTTGGTCGATTTTTTTCTTTGTTTTTTTTACATCCCTATTCGCAAGTACTGGAAGGGAGAAGTGGATTCCATGTCCATCATACCAATTAGTTCCTTGTTTGGTTGAAAATTATAAAGCAGACTAATAGTCTGATCAGATTGTTAGTCCCCATATGTGAGGCTATGTTATCCTCAGAGAATAAGATATTTTAACTCCTAAATAAGTGATTAATAATACACGAAAAGAAACTGACAATTAAAACTCCAAAGACAATTATTTGATAGCAACTCAAAGTGAGTCTAAGGTGGCTAAGTGGTGTTTTTTAACGTTAACAAAATAATGTTAGGTACGAGATAAAGTGATGATTTGGTTATAATTTGCAAGTGACATTGGGTATGAACAAATAATTATAATTGTTCGTTAGATTCAATTTCTAAATCAATGAAAGGATTATAGTTGATCTACCGATTCGAATCTTAAATATTTAACGTTCTCACTGTTTAAATAGATAGCTACATAAATCGTCGGTCCAACTGCCTTATCCACTTAAAATGCATAATTTGATCGATATAAAACTGTGAGCTCTACTGTCCGTTCAAAAGTATCACTTTAACTGTTTTTGATTAAGAGATTGGGGAAGGAATTTAGGGAAGTGGGGATGTTGTGGTGCAGCAAAATAGGCCCATTTTGGGGTCCAGTTTGGTAATCCAAATCGTTCACATTTTAGAATACATCAAGTAGAACATACTTGAAAAAAATCAAGTTAATCGAATATCGTTTACCCATTCATTTTAATAATTTAAATCATAATTATTATTTATTTTTGTAGATATAAATGTGAGTGGATGAATGTGTAAACGATATCCGATTAATTTAATTTTTTGCATGCATGTTCTACTTAATATATTCTAAAATGTGAACGGTTCGAATTATCAAAGTGAGCCCCGAAATGTGCCCATTTTGCCACACAGCAGCATCCCCACATCCAGACTTTAGAAGGTACACTACAAGAAAGAGCACCTTTGGCGACTAAATTTTTAGTCGCTAAAAGTCCATTTTTAATCGCCAAAAGTCGACTTTTTAGTTTCCCCGACTAAATTTTTTAGTCGTCGGCTTTGTCGCGAAAACATGGTCGCCGGAGGTATTGTCGACTAAACCTTTTTTAGTCGGCAAAAAACAGGTCTTTAGCGACCAAAGTTTTGGTCGCCAATAGTGAATTACACTTTTTAAAATTATACATTTAGCGACTAATCTTTTAGTTGCCTCAATGAATCGCCAACCAAACCGTTTAGTCGCCAAAAGAAACACTTTTGGCGACCAATAATTTTAGTCGCCAAAGGTTATTCTGTGAAAAAAAAAAATACCAACTTTTCTGAGATTCAAACCACCAACCTCCCACATTCTAAACCTTTAGCAACACACTCTCTCCACTGTGCCACTACAACACCACATGAATATATATGCAACATATATTATTTATATAGTATATTGACCCGTATTAACATAAAACTATATATATAAACATAATTATTTTTATTCAATATAATTTATGTAAACACTACAACAAAAATAGTCTTTAGAGACGAAAGCTAATGACGAAAATAAATTTTGTCACAAAATACGTATCTTTTAATGACGAAAATAATATTTTGTCTCCAAATGTACCATTTTTAGAGATAAAAATAAAATTTCGTCACCAATCTAAATACATAATAAAAAAATTAGGTAACGAAATTATTTTTCGTCATTATTTATATTTTTTTTTGTCACTGAAGATTTTCCCGCTATTTTTTCGGAGGGTATCAAAATTTTGAGACTTTTGGTGACGAAACAATTGGTCACCAATTATAAAATTATTAATGACGAATATATTTTTGTCACCAATAATTTTTAATATTTTAATATCATTTAGTAACAAAACTATTTTTGTGGCCAATATTTTTATCTTTGGTGAAGAAATAATTTTGTCACCAATAAATGATTTAGTTGCTAAATATTTTAGAGGGAAATGAAAATATATTGGCGCCTATGGAAGCAGATATATTCTTCTTAAAAATAAAATAAAATAAAAAACCTGTTATGCTTGGTTGTACACACAGACCTCACACACACAATAATTTCTCCATCAAACCTAATTTCACACACACACACACACCTTATACTCATTCACGGGACTGAGTTTCCTCATCGCCGCTGCTAACATTTCATCGATTCACACACATCACCGGTGTGTCGATCGGCTCACCGCCGACAGCCTTTCACTACAAAACTGATTTGATCACATAGTTATTGATATCCGATCAACGTGATATTTTACAGGTATATAGTACTCGATGAATTCTACAAATTAAACGGTTTGAATTATCAAAAAGAAATCCGTGGTGGGCCCCCCACGAACCCAACAGTACACTCCAGTTCTAAAGCCTCATCCTATTTTTTTTCGTTTTTGTTAATTTGCGACGACCTTTCAAACCATTGCAAAAAATTAATCTGCTAATATTCCACTAATACTACAATAATACATATAGGTCACACCTAAAAATTTAAAACCATCCCACTTTTAATTCAATGTGTGATAAAAAAAAAAATGTGTGAAGTGACTTTTTTTATTTTTTATTTATTTATTTCAACAGCCCACACCCCACAAAGAAACAAATCATTTTTTATTTTATTTTTGAGATTCCAAACATATCTCTCAATCCTCTCTCCCTCTCACTCTCTCTTCAAGCGCTAACCCTAGTCTTCTGCACATACTTGATCGCCTGGCACCCGTTCGACCAGCTGAGAGTGACCAGCAGCAGCGATCGGCGATCGGCGGCAATGGCAGCAATCGGCGAGCAACAGCGGCGACTGAGGTATTTTCTTCTCTTCTATTTTCTTCTTCTCTTATCTTCTTCTATTCTTCTACTATTTTGCTAATTCGATTTTTGTTAAAATCAACCCTTGATTTTCGATTTTTGTTGAAACTAGCCCTTGATTTTTGTTGAAATCAACCCTTGATTTTTGCTCTATATATCTCTCTCTCTCTCTGCCCCCTCTCCCCCAATTTCAAACCCTAACTATAATTTTCGATCTCTCAGATCTCAGCCCCTTCTCTGTTCTATATCACAAAAGTCATTTTGATTTCATTTCGCTTATTTTGAAGTGTTTCATATGTTAAAAATGCTAAATGTTCGATGCGTTCATTTACATGTTTGTTTATCTGCATTTTGTTGATCTGTACCTGTCTTTCTCTCTCGTTCACTCATCATATTATTTTCCTTGTGGCCTTCACTCCGTGTATTTAATTCAATTCAAAATATGAAACCAGGTGCCATAGTGATTCTCTTATGTTTTGAATGACTTACGATTGAAATTTGCACTAATTAAATCAGGACATCATGTCCATGAGGGCTACCCAAAAGCCAACCCATTGGATGATAAGTGGCATGTTAACAATTGAGAATAGTCCAGGACACGTTACAACTTTTATGTTGATTTCAGCTTCTGAGTCATGAGCTGTCACGTGTTTGGGTTTTTAAAACTCCTTTTTTTTTTAACCTTAAAAGTGGACTGATACGTCTTTCAGTGATGGGTGTTTTGGTTATATTAATTTAGGTATTACTGATAGCTATTGGAATGAATAAATTCTTTATAATGTGAATGCTTTCATGCTTTTAACAGTTACAGCGGCAGAGAGAAAGCAAAGGACAAGAATAAAAAATGCATTGCATGAGCTAGGTGGAATTTTCATCCATCTGAATCTTCAATAAAGTTGTGTGAGGTTTGAGTATATCTTCGCCTGAAATTTGAACCTATTTGATCTGATTAATTCCTGTCATATCATCAGTTGTAAATATTCCATCTAAATACCGAAGAAGTTTGGTCGATTTCAAGACTATATGTATTTATGCTACATGAATTCAGGTGCTAGGGGTGTCTGATGCAGGCATCTGTTCAAGTATATTTATCTAATTCTCAAGTTAAGGATATACTAAGACACCTAGATTTCATATTTCTTAAATCCTCTTTATTTTTGAAGTGTAAAATAATATTTACATTAAAATAACATTTTAGTTATGTGGTAGACTCGTTATACACGCTTGGGTGGGTGTATGCACATTTAGGCAATATCAAACACATATCTCAGACTATTACTTAACTGTGAAAGTGTCCGACGAAACTTGCCAAAATATTTTACAAATTTGAAAGAGTCCATAAAACTTAGTCCATGATTCTTGAAAAACACCACTGCTGAGGACATGACAATCCTAACTCATCTGTTTGTAATTGCCGGCCCCCTAATTCCAGTGATTACTTACATCCAATGGCTTATTATTTAACTCTTAGGGACAATCAAAGTCATTATGGTACAAATTATCCTTGTGAAGTCCGCCATTTGGCAAAATAACAAATTCCCCACCATAATATGAACATTGGGATATTCTCCTCCTTCCACAATCACAAGCACTCTGAACAAATAGTACTAGAACTCTCACTTCCTCAAAATTGCAACATATTTGCTTACCTACCTGCATCAATCCTTTTCTCATCATCCAAAATGAATAGAATCTCTATCTGGGTAGCCTTGATTTTGTTCTCTCTCCTCCACACAACGAAATCCAACATGGTAGAAATCAGAAACTCATTAATGATTTTTTACAGAAAACTCTCAAACAACAGTAGGCCATCTGATAGTATTTTAGGTTGGAATATGACCTCTGATCCTTGCAAGGATTCATGGTTTGGTGTATATTGTGATGAGCAGGCTCTTTCTGTGAAGAAAATCGACCTTGGTGGCTTAGGTTTTACCGGAACTTTCGATGCTAGCACTATTTGCAATGTTCAATCTATTGCCACATCTCTTACTATTCTTGGTCTCAGTAACAACGGTCTTGGTGGGGGGAACCTTGATCAGATTGCAAGTTGCAGACAACTCACCCATCTCAATTTAGGTGGGAACAGGTTCTCAGGTAGCCTTCCCGATTCTCTTTCCATGCTAAATAATCTGATTGGACTCGACATATGGCAGAATAACTTCTCTGGTAATTTGCCTGATTTGGCTTGGATATCTGGTTTGCAAGAATTTCGTGCTCAGCATAATCAGCTCACCGGTCCTATACCAAAATTTGATTTTCAGAACTTCATGTACTTCAATATTTCCTTCAACAATTTCACCGGTCATATTCCATTTGGCGGCAAGGGTTTACCTGTAAGCAGTTTCATCATGAACCCTGAATTATGTGGACCTCCACTGCCAAAACAATGCCCATCAGCATCATTAACCTCACCAGACTCCGATCAACAGCCAAAGAAGAAATCCAAGAAAATCTCAACAGATATAGGTATAATGTTTGTAGGTTACTTACTCATAGGGTTGGCTTTGTTCGTTATAATCGTTGTCAAGCTGTGTAAGAGAGGCAAGACAAAAGAAGAGAGGTCTGCTGATTCAGTCAACAAGGTAGCATCAGTTGATGATAGTTTCTACGATCCAAGAACTGCATCAGGTGAGAATAAAGCAGGTATGAACAAATCAGGAATTTCAGCTGAAAGTGGGATGGTTTCATCGTCGCTGGTAATTCTCACGAGTCCAGAGGTGAACGGATTGAAATTCGATGATTTGCTCAAGGCTCCAGCTGAGTTGATTGGGAGAGGAAGGCACGGTACTGTCTACAAGGTTGTTGGCGAGCAAGGGATGCCTCTGGCTGTCAAGAGGATTAGGGATTGGATGATTTCGAGCAACGAGTTCAAGCAGAGGATGCAGAGGTTGGGCCAAGTGAAGCATCCAAATGTATTGTCAGCTGTTGCCTTCTATTGTTCCCCAAAAGAGAAGCTTTTGGTATATCAATATCAAGAGAATGGAAGTCTATTCAGGCTTCTCCATGGTAATTTTTATTCCCTCATCATCTTCAAGCAACTTTAATCTTTGGCACAAGAAAGGCATTAATTTTGGTAACATATCTACACATGCACATGGGCAGGCTGTGTTTGAATCTTACACTCAGTTTGTTTGGGCAAAAAATGTTTTCCGTAATTTATGGCTTTTGGTATGAAAGAAAACGTTTTTCATGCTTATGGCAAAAATGCTATTTAGGCGAAAAATGCTTTTCACTTTTAATATGTGAAAAACGTTTTATGAACTAAACTCTTATCAGTGCCACCACACTTCCACTGCCGCCACGATGTTATATATTAATTTCTTGATACTATGAGACATGTATTTTGCTTGGGTTGTTTTATGATAATGAACAGTTTAATTTTATATTGATTTGTATTATATATTTTATTTAATAGATTATTAAAATGTACAGGTATTGTTTATTGAAAAAAAATATATAAATTGCAAATATAACCCTCCCCTCCCAATTTTTAAAATTTATTTATTATTGGCGACGAAAAAAAATTGACACTCAAACTTTCTAATCCTAACAAATAATTTCGTCACACATATTCACTATTTCCTCACTAAATTAAAATATTTGTTGACAAAAGTTTTCGTCACTGAAGGATTTTTTTTTTCCATGTTTTGGTGATGATATTTTCGTCACTAAAAATTCTATCGCTATTTTTAATGACGAAATATTTTGTCACCCAAAACAAATATAATAATATTTTATTTAATGTTAATGACGAAATGAACGTTATAGGTGACAAAATATTTAACATTTAGTGACGAAATATTTCGTCACCAAATGTCAATAATAGGTGACAAAATAAATTTTCGTCATCAGGTACTTTTAGTGACGACGAATTGATGACGAATGTGGTGACGAAATTATTTCGTCACAGATCAATTTGGTGACGAAAATTTCACTATTGGAGACGAAGTGATTTTGTCATTAAAGAACCATTTTGTTGTAGTGAAAAAATAAATTATTTACTAAAAAAAAATGAGACCACTTTTAGCGACTAAATCTATTTTTTAGTCGCCAATTCTATAGTTTTGGCTACTAATTATATTTTAGTCACTAAAAAAATTCATTCCCGCCTAAAAATAACCACTTTTGGCGACTAAAGTGAATTTTAGTCGCCAATTGTACACTTTTAGCTACTAAATTTTTTTAGTAGCCAAAAACCTTCACTTTTTGCTACAATTTATTTTTGTCGCTAAAACACGTATAATCGGCGACCAAACTATTTTTTAGTCGCCAAAACCTATATTTTTGGCTACTAAATGTTTTTAGTCGCCAAAAACCTTCACTTTTGGCTACTAAAATTTTTTTAGTCGCTAAAACCATATATTCGGTGATTAAGCTGATTTTTAGTCGCTAATAACTAATTTGGCTACTAATTCCATTTTAGTCACCAATTCTGCTACTTTCAGCGACGAAATTCTATTTTTAGTCGTCAATTCTGCCTTTTCTTGTAGTGGTAAAATGTGAATAAAATATATCTACATTTCACTTGATTTCACACACATTTTTCTTTTCCCTTTCTGAATTCCTTTCCAATCCCTCAATCAAACACAACCTTAAAAATAAATTTCATTGTTGTAAACCAATCTGGTTCACGCTTTGTGAACAAAATCAGCCTCCTAACTAAAATATAGGAGAAGAAAATCAGGAATCTAATGTATAATATCTTTTAGACAAACCTTTTGCATGTTACAGACAACTTCCAAAATAAAAAAATACAAAAATTTCTCCCTTATTACAACACTGACATTTATTAAGGATCCTTGATTTTTGCTGAGGCTCTTGTAGCCGAGTGACATGTAGTTCCGCCTTAGGGTGCAGTGAGTGGAAGGTCTGAGGTTTGAGTTGATGGATCAACAGCGGCTCTTTTAAGTTATAACCTAACTTTACTAACATACTAACATTTTATCTTTAACAACAAAAACAAAAAAACATAAAAATAAATAGATCCTTGATTTTCTTATGTAAAAAATAAATTATTTACTAAAAAAAATGAGACCACTTTTGGCGACTAAATCTATTTTTTAGTCGCCAATTCTATAGTTTTGGCTACTAATTATATTTTAGTTGCTAAAAAAATTCATTCCCGCCTAAAAATAACCACTTTTGACGACCAAACTTATTTTTAGTCACCAAAACCTCCACTTTTGGCGACTAAAGTGAATTTTAGTCGCCAATTGTACACTTTTAGCTACTAAATTTTTTTAGTAGCCAAAAACCTTCACTTTTTGCTACAATTTATTTTTGTCGCTAAAACACGTATAATCGGCGACCAAACTATTTTTTAGTCGCCAAAACCTATATTTTTGGCTACTAAATGTTTTTAGTCGCCAAAAACCTTCACTTTTGGCTACTAAAATTTTTTTAGTCGCTAAAACCTCTTTTAAGTTATAACCTAACTTTACTAACATACTAACATTTTATCTTTAACAACAAAAACAAAATAAATAAATCCTTGATTTTCAAAATTTTAAGCTTTCCTAAAACAAGACATTCATTACTTTACATAAATACATCTCAAATCACCACTCTCTTTACAACATCTTCCATTAACTTTCTCTCCAAACAAACAATTTTCATTCGACCATCCTAATGTGAGCTCCATTGTCAATCAATTCCTCAATCGAAACACCAAACTCCAAGTGCCACCTCATTGAGGCTCATCGGAGCACTAGCGTGTGCGAGCTCAATTTGCAATTTATTCAAGTTCTGAGTGACCTAAAAGTTGTAAAAAAACACTAGATAACACGAAAAAAGCTAGCCAAAGATAGTACTAATAGAAAACTCAAAAAAAAAATGTAACCCGTCAAGCCAACAGGCATTTAGTTGAGGCTACTACGTACTTTTCACCATTTTTCATTGTAAATAGAAATGGAATTATTGATCCCTTTGAAACCCTCCATCAGAACTTTTCACCATTTTCGTCTAAGATTTGATGTTTTTCCTCTACATTAGAATATTTGCTTGAAAATGTCAAATTCTAAGTGTGTACCATATGTGTGTGATGTTGGTTATAACTTGAAAAAATTATAAATAGAAATATGATCAACTCAAAGTGAGTCTAAGGTGGCTAGTTGGTGTTTGCAAAATAATGTTGGTTATGAGATAAGTGATGATTTGGTTACAAATTTGCAAGTGGCATTGGTTAAGAACAAATAATTATAATCATCGACTAAATTTAATTTATAAATCAACGAAAATGTTGTAATCGTTTTGTACTTTTGATTGGTATAAAACTATGAGCTCTACTCTACACTCTATGTTCCAAAGTATTACTTCAAAATAAATTTGATTGTTTGTAAAAATCAGGAATCCAATGTATAATATTTTGTGGACAAACCGTTTGCATATTACAGACAACTTCCAATATATTAAGCACTTGTTACATATGTACGAGCACGAAATAATTCCTACAAGACATTTCTTTTCACCATTTTCGTCTAAGATTTGATGTTTTTCCTCTACATCAGAATATTTGCTTGAAAATGTCAAATTCTAAGTGTGTACCATATGTGTGTGATGTTGGTTATAACTTGAAAAAATTATGAATAGAAATATGATCAACTCAAAGTGAGTCTAAGGTGGCTAGTTGGTGTTTGCAAAATAATGTTGGTTATGAGATAAAGTGATGATTTGGTTACAATTTGCAAGTGGCATTGGTTAAGAACAAATAATTATAATCATCGACTAAATTTAATTTATAAATCAACGAAAATGTTGTAATCGTTTTGTACTTTTGATTGGTATAAAACTATGAGCTCTACTCTACACTCTATGTTCCAAAGTATTACTTCAAAATAAATTTGATTGTTTGTAAAAATCAGGAATCCAATGTATAATATTTTGTGGACAAACCGTTTGCATATTACAGACAACTTCCAATATATTAAGCACTTGTTACATATGTACGAGCACGAAATAATTCCTCTCGTATGATCCTATTGATCAAGCTTGCGCTCTTGGAAACGTCGTCGCTTTGTCACCTGAAAACACAAACGTGAGCTAACCGGCGGGTGTGTGCCGGAAACCCCTCGGATGCCTAAGTCAGCACAATAGACAATAGATACAAAAGCTCTGTGAATTCAGGAATCAAAGTCGTGTTACCTCTCCATAGGTGATGTATGAGCTTTTATAGGTTTTGCGTGGCACAATCCTAGTAGGACTCCTATTCCCCCATGTAGAGTCCTCATAGGAATCACTCCTGAAAGATAATGCTTATCCTTCAACACCCCCCTCACTGCTTAAACCAAGTGAGATGGTTTTACCCCGGTAGTACGACAGAACGACCGAGCTATCATAGTCACGCTAAACTGGCTGAAATGACTGAGCTTTACCTAGCTCGGTTCTTCCCTGCATTGTGTGTACATCGGTTTCTCCTGTTGAGACTGTGCTAACCATAACGAGTTTGGACCGAGCCAATTCGTAGCAAGGTCATGAGAAAAGCTCAAAGTACCTTGGCTCAGAAGGGTATGGCCGAGCTAATTACTATCACTCTAACAGTGGTGACCGAGCTAACTACAAGACTCTTTTGGACCGGGCTAACCTACAAGACCCATTTACCTAGCCCTTTTTACTATGGCCCATAGAACGGCCCATTATCCAGCTCGGCCCAATTTATTTATAAATTTCCCTCTCAATTGCCCCTTAATTCCATCTGCGCAGCATGATTGGGATTACCAGTTCCCAGCCAAACTAAAACCTCTTGCCTTTTAACCGAGCTAAAATGCTGTCGGACTGCTGATTGGTACGATTACAAAACGTCTTTTCAGTCACTATAACTGAATCGCTTTCTATTCCATGGACACGTGGCAAGCCTTTATTTGTCAAATACAGCTGCCACACCGTCTTCGTACTTCGCGTAATTTGAACAGTCCCGCCCAATTTCACACGTCTCTATTCAAAACAAAACCCTATTTTTCAAACCAAATCATCACTATTCACCTTCTTCTCTCTCTACGTTCTGAGCTTTCATTCTTCCTCATCACTGCATCTGCGAAGCTTTGCATCCTTATCCAACTCCTCTGTTGTTCCAATCTTAGATCTTCCACTTCTTAGTAGTAAGTAACTAAATCTCTACCCCTTGTTTTACTTTTTGGTAGCATGTAGCATTATATCCGTATGTTTTTTCAAAACACACTACTTTGGTTTCCATTCTTTTGGAAAAACCTCGTACTAGAACCCCTATATTCATGAATAATCTGAAGAACAACGTGTTTGATCCAAAATAGAATTCCAACCGAGCTAGGAACATGTTTGTG